CTCCCAGATCCACCCTTACTTCCCCATTTTTTTCTTTTTAAATAACCCACTGAGTCCAATTTGTACAGTTGCTATTCTCAATGGGTATAGGATCAACCACTAGAGTATGGTTGACCCAGTAGGGGCCATTTCCTTAAAGAAGCTATATCTATCCTTACCAAGAAGCCATCAGCTGTCAGTAGGTCCTCAGGAGTAGTGGGGCTCGTGAGCCTCTCCCTCTTCTATACTACAGCATTGACTTGTTTACTCTTGTGCAGGCAGCCACAGCTAATGTGAGTTCATGAGTGCAATTATCTTGTTATGTCTAGTAGACACTGTTTCACTCTGCTTCTCCCTAACCTCTGGCTCTTAAAATCTGCCTTGTCCATGAAGCCTGGGGAGAGGGCCTGATAAAGATGTTCTATTTATGATGGAGCACATGCACACTTATTCTGTGCACATTTATCAGTTGTGAATTCCTGCATTAACCACCACCCACTGTGCAAAGAAACTTAAAATGAGGATTGATAGCTGCATTAATCTATAGATATACAGCTATAAATTTACTGGACAGTTTAAGATTGTATTCTTTTAACAAAATAATAATAATAGGCTTATCCCCTGGGGCCCATGAGCACATCAACCACGGGTTTTCAACCAGGTTAGCAATGCAAGAAATGCTTTTCCTTTATGGAGTGGGTGTTAAATCCAATCAGAAAGCAGTTGGTTTACCATTGTAACATTTCATGCTACTCTTGCACCCATGGGGATATCTTGTCACACTGGTCATTGTGGTTCACAAAGTTCTCAGTTGGGTAAAGCTGTTGCTAACTTCCTCTTAGCAACCTATATTAGCTCCCTCTGGTACTATGAAAGCTGGCAGCAAAGAAGCTTCTTGGTCAGTACCCACTTGATTTCTCCATGTCCTGTGAGCAAAATATGTGAGGTCTTCAACAATAGTTCTTACCAAATTCTGGTGCTCAGCCAAGAGAAGGGGCAGCAACCTCTGTCTGTCTGTCTGTCTGTCTGTCTATCTATCCATCTACTATCTATCATCTACTTATCCATGACATACATACATACATACATACATACATACATACATACATACATTTATTTATTTGGAGGAGTGTCTCTAGTTTAACTCTTGACCAACAACATGATGTACCTGTACCTGGCACTAGGTTTGCATTTGGTAAAATAAAGGTTCTGGGAAGACAGTTATCCCTTGTGTAGCATGAATCCAATTAAACTTCTTTATATGAGTAAATAATAAGACATGTTTCTATATGCTTTTGTAACATCCTTAATGTTAACCAAATCTTCATTCAGCTTTTATCTTCCTAGTGTTCATAAGCATTTACTTGAGCCTTTACTTAAAACTGAACTTTTCTATATAGCCAGTGCTTAGTTTGGGGAGTGACTTTTTGAAGATCTGACTGGTTATTAATTAATTAATTAGGTAGTTCTAGAAGCTTAGCTTGTCATTGCAATTTTCAAAGAACTGATTGCCCTTTATGTAGAAGGATATTTTCTTAAGTCAAGCTTTTGGTGTCTTTAAGTGGAGTAAAGTGGTGTGTGTGTGTGTGTGTGTGTGTGTGTGTGTATCCACGCACGTGCACACACATGTGCACGAGCATATTTAAGCACCTGGATCCTAAAGATTCAGTCTCAATTTTCTAGCCATTGGCTTTTGAGCTTCTGTAGAATTTGAGTGATCTGGTACCATAAAAAGTTTATTTGAAAAATTCAAATTTCTTCTAACAAACTCTTTTTGACTGGGTTTTGTTACGCATTCCAGAATAGTGTTGACTTCAGGATCCTGCTGCCTCAGCATCTGAGTGTTAGAATTAACAGGCAAATCATGCTTGGTGATAAACAAAGACATATTTTGTGTTTGTGTGTGTGTGTACCAAGGCATGTCCATGAAGGTCTGAGGACAATTCAGGTGTCACTTTGCTTTTCCATCTTGTTTGAGAAAGGTCACTCCGTTGTTGCATATGATCTACTAGCTGGCCTGAGAATTTCTGAAGATGCTCCTTCCTCCTTTTCCATTTCTCTGTAAGGTTATGTTGCTGGGATGATAGATGGTGACTACTGCTTGCTTCTATTGGCATTATTTGTAATAAAATGCTAATATAATTTCTGCACTCAAAATAATTAGAAGAAATAATGTTAGTGCTTAGTTGTATTAAACATGTTGCTGAATACTTTTCCAGTTAGGATAAGTTGCAGTTGCAATAATGAGCTTCTTGAAGTGAGGATAAAGTAGTTGATTCCCGTTAGTGCTGCTATGACATCTGTTTTATAGAGTTGCTGTTTATACTATACTTCAGGGAGTGATAGCTCTATTTAAAGATTTAAATATAAATGATTTAAGTTTATGCCTTGTTTGTGTCATTGTAAATGGAATGCTTTGGCTTATCTTGACTTAATAAATGGAGCTATTCTGGTTAATCATTTCATGGAAGAATACTGTCATTGTTAGTTGAGGAAGACACTTTACAACAATCTATGACCTTTACATGCGTGACAACACAAACATGTATATACATATCTGAGCACATTCATATATAAACATACATACAAAATAATTTTTTAAATCTGTATTTATTTACCTTAAGATTAAGAGGATTTTGTTTTTTTGTGATGATAGGTACTGAACCAAGGATCATCAAATGATCTACATCCTCAACTTAAAAAGAGTTTTAAAAGCATATAAACGGCATATAACTTTCAAATAGTTTAGAGTAGATTACGTAGAGGCATTCAGTTTTTAATAATTATGGCATTTGATTTTCTGTGTCCTTTTTATAAGCGGGCAACTGCTATAAGTATTAGCTTTGTCATTAAAGGAGTAATTGTTTTCATTCTTCTTGGTGAAAAAAGTATAAAGTAACTTAACCTTAAGAAAGTCATGATAAATCAAATTAAAGGGAAAAAATAAAATTTGATTTTCACAGTTCATAATATTAGTAAATATTGCTTTTATAAAGTGGGAAAACTATTGGAAAAAATTAAAAGAGATGATAAGAAAGGGAAATAGGGAAAATAGTAAAACAAAAGCAAGTAGGAAGAGTTATAAAATAGGAAAAAATATTTTGTAACAAGTGAAATCAGTGAGATAAACTCACTTTTTACAATAAAAAGTTGATTAGATAATATGTACAGAATATACATATTAAATTTGATTGATAAATCCTGAAAATTAAAGAATAAGCATACAAGATATAAAGAGAGCAGAGGGGATCATAATGTTCATGATAATGAACTGTAAATGAGACAGATTTTTAATTACAGTGCATGTAAGTCATGATGATGTTAGGAACTGTACGTGTATCAAATTGTAAAGAATTAAAATATAAATGAACTTTTTCACGAAGAAAGTGTTTAGAACTTAATAGTTTAGACATATTAGAGTACATTTCTAAGTAACACTTAAAGTGACTAACTCTACATCATAGGTTTTTATTTAAATTGACTTCAAGTGACTAACTCTACATTATAGGTTTTTATTTAAAACCAAAATATAACTTCTTCTCTACTCAGGACAATTAATCATGGTTTTCTTTTCTTTTTTTTTTTTTCACAAAGAAAATTACAAACGATTCTAAACAGAAATAGACAGCATTAGATTTTCTGCCTTTAGCCAACACTAAAGTTGCATTAAGTTATAAAAATAAAGAGGGAGTTTGGTAATTTTCAGATTTTTCTCCAATAATTCTTAGATGAAACAAAAGTTATGTTTTTCAGATAGTGGTTAGATAATATAACATCAAACTATATAGTATTATTTTGATAAACTAGTAGTGCTTCAAGAAGATAGCTAAGTGACAATGACAAATCAAAATATTTTTTTGTGATCTTTAGTATTATGGGCAATATACATTGCCTGACTTAAGATAGGACTGGAAAAGCTCTGAGACTTGTAAACTGTATTGGTCCCCAATCCTCTGGACTTTATTCTAGGTATATACACTGGTAGTGAGTTATTTGTGTTGGATATATGGAAAAACCTTCTCGTTTCTTTATATGTTAGGTGTTTTGTGATGATGTTGATGTTGAACCTGACTGGGAAAGACGTTTTTCCTTTCATTTTGCTCTATTTCATTACACAGTGAATTCCCTCTACTGCTTTGAGGTCTTCATCTACAAATACAGATGTTGAATTAAAATATGAAGTTCTTTGTGAATGTTATTTGTATGGTCATGAGTAAATTCATTAACTATTAAACATCAGATTCCTTTCTGTCTGTAGTATCTGAAATTGTGTTTTTGTGGGAGAGAAGCAGCTTAGGGTACCATGAAAGCAGAAGTGATTGAGAATTTCTTAACTAGAAAGAGAGAGAAAAGGATGTTGAGCAAACTTTCACAGCATTTGTATGATGTCTGATGTCTGAACTGGCCTTGGAGATCAGTAAGAGTTTTTCAGATGAACTTGGAAGGACAGAATTAGAGGCTGACAATATAGAAGGTTCAAAGACAGAGACAGCACCTTCTACTTTTGAAAAAATACAAATTATTCATGCATCTCTAGAATAGGCATGTGGAGGAGTAGCAAAATAACAAATACTGAAATAAATGAGAATCAAATTGTGGAAATCATTTACTTCATAAAATAGATTATAACCATGGAATTAATTTTAGCAGTGGCACTGAGGAGTCACTGTAAAGTTTAATTGAAATAAATGCAGAGATGGCATTTATAAACAAAACTGGAAGTTTGTGAGGCATGATGGAATCTTAATTAAAGCTGTAATGAGATGATATGTGGATTTCATTACAGATGCCTAAAATAGTTGGGCTTTCAAGAGTATGAGAAGATCCTCAAGATGTGTTTGTTATATATATGAGTGCATTTTCTTGGAAAGGGGTCCATAACTTTCATCAGCTTATATAAGAAGTGTTTGGTGTATCTATGTTATAGGAAAAAGTGATAATGTGACATTTATAAGCTCTGAAGTTTATGAATTTAAAAATATGCTCTAACACCTAATCTTTTTTTTCTTCACTATTTTTAGTGGACAGGCCAAAATCTCAGCAAATTCGAACGTCTAGTACAATAAGACGAACCTCTTCTTTGGATACGATAACAGGACCTTACCTCACAGGACAGTGGCCACGGGACCCTCATGTTCACTACCTTTCATGCATGAAAGATAAAGCGACTCAGGTAAGATGAGAAAATCAAAACCAGTTCTTTGATTGTGAAACTAGAATATAATTAAATTATCCTGAATATGAAATAAACCCAACCAAAGCAGAATCTCTTGTTTTAAATATTCAGCATAATAATAATTTGTCATTAAGCTATAGAAGATTTAAGTTACTTAATATTTAATAAGTAAATTCAGGCTGTATTATGATTTTGGAGACATGCTGTCATTTTTAAGAATTGTTTTATAATAAAATGAAGATAATAATTAGGAAGCAGTTTTGAAATTTTTTTCAAGAAAAGTTTGCACAGATCTTGAAATAGTTTGTAGGATATTAGCAACATGAATTTTGTTGATTTTTTTTCCCTGTTACAAAGGTGAGGCTAACACCAGTGAAATAGGAAATTGACCATTTTCTTAACTTCTCCTGTTTTAGAAGATTCCCTAGCCTTTTGATTTGAAGAATATTTCCTCTCATATCAGAAAAAAGTATCTAAACATCTTCATTTATTGTGATCTGAGTTTTGACTGTATCTTCACCAAATGTTTCTTGAGAAATGAATTTTATTAAAAATATGAGTGATTTTTATTGGGTATAAAGAACATGTTAGATAGGTGGGGGTAGAAGATACTAAGTAGGTATTATGTTAGGGAATATGTAAACAAAAGGATATTCAGAATAAGAACATTTTGGGCTTTATAGTTTAAAAAAAGAATTAGTTTCTTGGGTCGAGAATGAGGGAAATGAAGGACAGCATTTTGGGTGATGTCTATGAAAACCCTTTTTATCAGGTTGTCATTATGCTAGGCAAGCTTGGAAACTGAAACGAGTTGCCTTTGTCATTGTCCGTTCTGTCATCTCTACTGCCTAACTTTTTTATGACCTACATAACCTTTGCTTTTTCTTGTTTTAACGAGGAAAAGCATAAATTTGATATGGCAAGCAGTGGGCTTCTCAGCAGAAATGAATTGCACACCTTATAGATGTGGGCCTAAGCAATTAGAGGAAGGCACAGATGGAAATGACTAAGAACTATTTTCTAGAAGATTGGATTCTCAGTTGTGAAAGAGTGTAGGTTATAGGATAAAAGAATGAATTCACACCAAATGAATCAGAGCATAGTGTTAGGAAGGTATACAAAGGGATGAAAGAACTAGATTTATTCATTTGGAAGCAACTAGAGGGAGCAAAAATTTATTAACTATATACCAAAACTGATTGTTTTATTACCTATATCTTGTTTAATTTTCACAAGAACATTGAACTGTGTTATAATTATTTAAAATGGCCTCTGGTTCAGCTGACTATCTAAGCTGTGGTGGCTCTGTCTAGCTCAGCCGCCATGTTCTGTGGCCAGAGGCCATGTGCATGCAGGAGCTAGAACTGGCCTGCCAGAAACACCAGCCCTGTCACCCACTAGATGCCAGCATGAGAGATGGCTCTGCCAATCTTCCATGCTGTTTCCACAAGGCAAGGCATTGCCCAGACCATTCCGCCATCCATGCGGGCCCAGTAGGAGAATGAGACTCTAATTTCTTCAACTGCTGCTGCTGCTGCTGCTGCTGCTGCTGCTGCTGCTGCTGCTGCTGCT